ATTTAAAAAAACAAAAACAAAAGAAAACGATGATGTAACTTTTCTACCCAACAGATTCAAAATATTTTTGATGCTACACTGAGTTGTAACAAGGTGAAGGGTCCCTCTGTCATTCCCACTCCCGGTTCAGGAATGATTTTCAGGAAAACCAAAGAATGTGACGGTTATGTGCCTTCTCTCTCCGCTCCTCTACAGTATCAGCAGTTTGCAACACTAGCCAAAGTTAGCTAATAAATGGAGTCCGCTAATAACTAAAACAACTAAATGACCACCACAACCCAAACAACACAAAGTGGACAAATTGCTAGCTAGCTAATGTAGAAAAATGTGTATCAGCTAGCTGACCTGGTTGGTAAACTGACTGGCTTGTGGTTTGCAGGTTACTTTGTTTGTGCTGGATAACATTATTCAGCTGGCTGGCTAATCTTAGTTTCCTTGCTTGCTAACATAATGGTTTTACATTGAAAAATGATCTCACCAGCTAAGGTGATGCATAACTTAACTTCATATTAATTTATGTAATATGACAAACATGGCTGATTTTAGCCAATAAATGATGTAACAATCCAAAGCTACGGTGTCTAACTAGCAATGGCTTATGTCCATAGCCGGTTTCTTCTGTTCTTGCTGGCTGGAAAAAGATCCTTCTAACAAGATTCCAATGTAAAGCAAAGCTTATATGAGGCTTAATCAACCTGACCAAAAAAAAAAATCTGATAGCTGAATGGGTGTACCTATCATATAATGATGCAGAAGGAAGACCATGATGAAATAAATTAAAATATGGATATTCTGGGTGCTCCCTGACATGCAGATGGATAACTGTGCTGACAACATAACTTTAAAAAAAAGGATCTACAGTATAAAAAAAGTAAAATAGTAATAATCAGTGTGTGCACATACTCTTCCTCTTTCCAATGTCCATGTCAGAGGTAGCAGCTTCACACAGCAGTACCATTCCCATAGTAACAGCAGCATCTGACAGTAAGGTCAAGGTTTAGACAACAAATGATGTTGAGTTAGTCTACTCAAAACTCTTTAGTCCAACCAGTACAATGAGTATTCAACAGCTACAACCCACCAAGTGGTGGTGTGGGTTGAAGTTGGGGGGGAAGGGAGGGGGTCTGCAGTCCTGTCGCAAACAGATGATGTGCTTCAAAAATAACAGCACAACAAAGCTAGAGGAGTGGACTTATCTGTGGATTTTAACAGATTTAGAGTTAGAGAGCAGGGCTGTCAATGGCAAATATATAATGCTGATATCAAAACAAAGAATCACTAGTGCTGACTGTAGTGTGAGAGTGCATACAGCTGAAGGATACTGAAGAGCAGGACAATGTGTGTCTCAGCCACAAACTGGGCTTGACTGCTGCCATGGATGTAACTCTGAAAACATACAGTTTATACAGTTTAATACTATTCTGACCATATATTATATTGTGAATGAGGATGTAAATAGTGCATTTCTGTCTTACAACTTGGCCAGTGCTAGGGTTCTTGTGTGCATAAGGTGGTCCTCTGATGTGGTTCCACATCTGGCCTGAAGTCATGATCAGAACAAAGCACTGAAACACACAGAGACAGTAGAAGGTGGGAGAATTGATCATTTCTTACACACAAATTTCACAATGTGCCTGTTTTTTCCCATAATAGCAGTTTTATTAGATATGACAAATATTAATATCACTACAAAACACTGTATTTATTGTATTTCAACATTCTTTTCCCAGACAGGGCCCTATTAACATTCCCTGGCATGTGCGCGAAAAGCTGGATGCTGCCTGTTGACTTTACCTTCCAGTCTGCTTTTTTTCAAAGCTTCTGAAACTTTTATTTCTCTTTCGGTTCGTTGCTTATTTTTTCACGTAACTCTCGAAGTCGCTGGCTGCTCTAACGATGGTTGTTTGCAGAGAGTTCTTTCGTGCGGTTTTTTTGGCTGTGCTTTGGAATGCGCTTCCACCGGGACGACGCTGCTCCTTGTTACTCCGGAGAACAGCTGATTGCCCCGGCTGAATGCCGGCTGGCAGAGGGTCGAGACGGGACAGGTTTCATGGATGAGAAGGAGAAGATTTACGAAGCCGTGTCTCCCGTCTCATGTTTATGGTAATGTACTGGTTCTCCTAGCAAATAAATGAACGAGCTAACGGCATTACGCGGAGCCAAGCAGGTACCAGGAGTGCGCAGTCTGATGTAGTTTCACTGAGACGATGGCTGCACAGGGGCAATTAGCTGACCAGAACGTCTCTGTCGATGTCTTCCACATTCTGAATTTAAAGGACCAGTGTGTAGGATTTAGTTGTGGGTTGGGTTGTGAGGTTTTATTGATTTTAAGTGGTGTAAGAAAACTTGCATCTCATTTTGGTAATTTCTCTGAAGAAAGCTAATTAAACTGTTGAGTTTAAACTATTATTTAATATATACTTTGAAGACCTGAACACATTCACAGAGCCTTCTCTCTCTCTGATAAACAGCCTTGTCCTGTATTAGAAAAGTATGCAGTTAAAACAACCAAATAGAACAATGGCCAAGCCTCAGGTTGAAGAAAACCCTGAATTTGTCAAAAAAAGCAGCCTATTAAGTATGAATAATTGTTTAAAATGTTTAAATACATAAAACAGACAAACAAAGAAGTTCCTTTAAATATCAGCAACAATTCATCTTTGATAATTATTCACAGGAAATAATCTTCTCAAAAAGAGAGAGAGAGAGTCTGCTCATTAAAATTAGCTGCTTGATGTCTGGCTGTGTTAGCAAATTTGTTGATCATAAGTGATGTAATCATAATGTAATGTAACTGTCCATATTTACCAGTGGGATTGCACTCTGAAATTGAGGGGCTCCGTTGGTGGAGATCAACCACCTTGTATTCATCTATGTACGGGTGTGTGTGTGTGTGTGTTGGTCGTTGTTACCAGTGCAGAGAAGGCCCAGACGTTCTTGTTAAAGAGAAACTCCAAATTGTGTCTCCGTAGATACGCAAGGCCTCCAATCACAGCCAGGAGGAAGCCCAGCAGGAGAGGCCCTGCATAGTTGGGGGGACGAATGACACGGATCTGAAAAACAGGACTATAGTCATCAGAGGCTCCCATCAGCATGATTGTTGTTGAAGTTCAGAGTTCTTTATCCGTTTATTTCAAAGCAAACACTATGATGGATCATATTCAGGGTACCTGGTTAAATCTAATGGTCACATTATCACAGTTACCTGAACATCAATCCTGTCTGCCACCCATCTAGCCAGCTGCTCAGCTGCAAAGCCTCTGACCTGCAGCTCATAGGTATCAGACCTGCGAGGTTTCCCTTTGGATGGGAAGTGGAGGAAGGTCGGAGCAGAATTCATATTTAGCTGAAACACAAACACAGGGTAACATTTAGTAGATGTAGTGAAGTTCAATAGTACTTGATCAAATCCGCTTATCATATCGGAATTGTTGCAGTTTCCTCATTAATTCTCATCTCACAGGTTGAGCTTTCATGGAACTAAATGAAAAAGAACCCAACATTGTTTATTCATACTTCAGTGACTCCTAGCTTTTAAACCACTGTGATTATAAATCTTATTTTAATTCATATATATCTCTAAGCACTGCACATTCATTAAGTTATTGATGACACCTTGCTTTTGTTCCCAAAGTTTTCAGCCATCAGATGCACTGTAGAAGTGTGGTTCAACAGCAAAATGTCACTAAATTAGTTCCAAAACATCAGCAGCTTGCTCAAGTTTACTGTCACATCATTCATTTACAACTGAAACCTCTGGAACCTCTTTTCTTTCTTATAAAATTTCTAAGATGATGTAAGAACATTTATGGAGATAAGTCTATGGAATCAGATGAGTGTCAGTATTAATTAATGCACACAGACAGATTCAGAAATGTATAATGTCGGTTATATATATACTGTGTGTGTGTGTGTGTCATGTGTGAATAAACCCTTAGAAAACAAATGAAAACTCACCATCTGAAAGACATCTGATCCTTCGTCAAAATCGACAGATGCAAAGAAGACTTTGTTAGTAAAGGCAGAGGAATAACGCCATGAGTTCGCCAGCACCTGGAACTCCTCATCAGCTTGTCTGAAATGACAAGATGAATTTCAATTCATAGATTATAATTGAAAAATAACAGCACCTGTTCCCATTGCTCCTGCTCCTTACCTGCAGACTCCACATTGTCTCTGTGGCTGAAGTGCTGTAAACATGATAACCACAGAGTAGTTTCTGGGAGGAGCCTTGACAAAGCGACGAAACTTATCGCCATTCATCCTGATGACTGAGCGCTTGGAGGCCCACTCCATCATCTGAGTCACCTTCTCTGACAGCAGAGTCTACACAGGACACACACACACACCAAGACAACTGCTAGTGTTACAGTTGGTCCACATAAGATGCATGAGCAGTGTGCGACTGCTGCAGCTCGCAGGCCTATGATGACACAGAGAGCATTTCTGCTGCTGCTTGCCCTATCTTTCTATACTGAGTTTACCAATGATGAATACAGAGTAAAAACCCTGGTAACATATGAATGCATTCTGTCCACAGAAATGTGAAAGAGCTTTCCATCTCAAACAGATATAGGAGGTGTTGAGATAAAAAAATACATTTATATTTTTTTCTAACAGTGACACATTCTACAACATATACACCTTTCTATTAAAAAGTATATGTTGCTGGTACAATGTCTATATGACTATGAACAGACACTTTTCACTGTATTTTTGCTGGGAACTAGCGAGGCGAAACATCGACTCTGTAGTGAAGCACCGCCTCAGTTGAGACGTGCGCCTTACTCACTGACTGCTCTAACCTGTTAACATGTGCACTTAAATAAAATAAATAAAAAATAAAATAAATCACAAAAAATGACTTTACACATAAGAACAATGTAGCATTACAAAATATATCCATGACTGTTTAAAATGTGTTAAAGGCAGAGACCAATCCATAGCTGACCAACAGTTTCAATATTACAAAGACACATCATGTCAAACAGTGCAAATGCATTTATGAAGCTATACAAAAAGTTAACTGACCAGGTCAGACCACTTCAGATGGTCAAAAGTCTTACAGCCTCTGGAATAAAACCAAACTTCCTTTGTGTTGTTTTACATTCATCATCATACATTGTAATTGTTGCATTTATTGTTTCGCCTTCAAGAAGCCACCAATCGTTCCTGTACCTCCAAGTCTGTAGTGTCTGGTCTAATCGACTACTGCCCTGTGGCACTCCACCAACCCATTGGGATGAAGTGCTTTGAAGAAAAACTGTTCTCCAGCACATAAGTAATAACATCTCCTCCAGCCCTTGAACCCTCACCAGTTTGCCATTCAGAACCAACAGATCTACAGAGGATGCCATCTCCCACTGCTCTCGCACTCAGTCTCAGCCTCAGGGCTGTGTGCTCAGCCCCCTCCCTGTACCTTGTTAAAAATTTTACAGAGGAGTGATAGAAAGCATCCCCGACTGGAAATTATCACAAACAAGTGATTTAAAAAACCTCCCAGAAGATTATTGGTACTCAGCTAACCCGCATGCAGTGATATCGGTGACGCAAGGTGCCTGTGCAGAGCCAAAGGATACTAAAGACAGAAACACCTACCCAGCGCACTACCTGTTCACCCGCTGCCATCCCTGGGGACATGATACAGGAGTGTCCACTGCTGTACCACCAGAACCAGCTTTTTCCCTCAGGATGTGACACTGCTTCATTCATCCTCTGTAACTGTTTTGTTTTGTGTGTAGCATAAAGGGACAAAAAAAAAAAGGTGCCAATGGGTAGTGTTAACGTCATGGGGCTGTAAAATGCGAGGTATGGTTATTGTCTAGCGAGAGCCAGACACATGGTGAAGATTATCATAGATATAACAATGCCTTCAGGGAAATATTAACCCAATAAACATACTCACAAAGAACAACAAAGTTCAAGCCGTCCATCGGCGCCTTCTACACCAACCGCGCCATCAAAATACTTTTGTGACCGTTATGGGAAATGATCCCATGCCCTAGAAATCATGGTGAGAATTAAGTATCCCAGTTCGAGATTTCCATATTGTGTTGTGTTTTTTCTAGGTGCGCAAGCTCATAGAAACTTATCAGCATCTATATCCTAAGTAGGAGTGGCAGAAAGAACAGACCTGTAAATGTATCCACAACCATGGCGGGCGAAGGACAGGGAGACCCCATGCGGTCAGAGAAGGCAGCACGTTGTGTGTTATAGTGCAATGGTTGTTAACACCGTCACAAATTGAACCTAGATGCATGCGCAGCGTGTCTCGCCACATAAACACATAATCACAAAATCTAGCTGAGGACATATGTATACACCAAGATATAAGTTATGGTAATAAAACTCAGACATAAAAAGGTCCTGTGCTTATAGTAATTATCCCTATGATTTTCCTCTCTGTGTCGACGTCTACCGTATGTGCTTTTTTATATGAACGAGAAAGTGGTTTGAAGGACCAGTGTGTACTGGATTTAGTGGCATCTACGTAGTGTAGCTGTGAATTGAAACTAACCCTGCTTTCACCCTCCTCTCTCCAGTGTCGCACAACCCCCCCCACCACACACATTCTCCTAAGCATGCGATTGTGCTGCACAAAACACTCACACTATCTAGCAGCACCACATGTCTTTCGCTCTTTGGTACATTCGTACTCCATGACAAATGGGTGGTTTCAAACCCAAAACACACATTTTGGGGGGGACTCCATTTAAGCGAATCCTGGCGCTTTTCTGCACAGATACAACAAATCTCTACAGTAACACCACACCCATCTCAAGTGTGTTTTTACAGGTGACTTACTAGCGAACTAATGAAAACAAAGTTAGAATATTATATTCCATTTCTGCCAATAGATCCCTCCAAAAATGTTACACACTGGAACCTTTAACAAATAGCTTGGTTTTTGGGTTACATGTGTTCACTTTGGAAAGTGGAAAGGTGGAGCTGGCTTTGAGAAACAGGCCTCAGACAACAAAAACCCCATGAGCAACAAAAAAAATAAAATCTTGATATTGATAATGCAGGCATGTATGGAACAAATTTTATGGTAATAAATGATTTGGACGCCCCAAAACTCCTTCTAGCAGCAGATTATCGTATTTGATTGTTCTTTGATATTGTGTGTGTGTGTGTTGTGTGTGTGTGTGTAGTTTTTTTGGAGCCGACGGTACCTGATGGCCAGGCCCATGATCAAAGAGGCAGGAATGGGTTCACTTGCTTCTAGAGAATCCTTATTATATCCTTCTATTGTATTTTTCACATCCTGCTTTTTTTTTATTTCCCTTTGAAAGTAACTAATAAACTATTGTCTTCTTTATTAGCTACTGTGTTATAAGATATTAAGTGCATTTTTACTACAGTTTCGCAAGGATTGAATCAAAAGTAATAGGTCCATTTTTTCGAATGTGATCATTGACGCGAGTAATTAGTATGATAAATGGTCAAATGCTGAATGTTAGCTTTGTTTAAAGGGAGAATGCAGTGATATAGTGTTGCATCTTCCCCATCAAGTTTGAGACTTCACAACAGACAAATGATTAACCCCAATATCTTGGAATACCTTGTTAGGCTGACTGGCTTAGCACCTGCTGATGCTTTTGAAACACAATAATTCAATTCAGTTTTATTTGTAATAGGCCAATTCATAAACAGAAGTTAATCTCAGGACACTTTTGCTCATGTGGTACTGTTGAGTCTCTGTAAATGTTATAAGTGACTGCGGTCCTAGACCTGTCTAATTTGAAAAGTGTCCTGTAGATAACTTCCCTGTTAATGAATTGGCGCTATACAAATAAATTGGAATTGAATTGTTTTTGACCACCCACATGGAACTAGTCCAGAGGAAAGATTGTAGAAATGTGTCCTGACCAGTGTGACCATGTTTTTAATTCCCTGAACTGACTGTTTACATGGCTACCGTAAACCCAAAGACCAACTTGTATAGTTAACTACCCTTCACACACACACACACATCACATTAGGGATTTAAGAATAAGATAAGAATAAGAAAAACCTTTTATTTTGTCCACCAATGGGGAAAATTGCAGTTTGCAACAGCATTACCAGAAAGGACAGAATAAAAAAT